TGAGTGCTTGGGGGTGCCATTGTTTGTATTTGGAGCTTCTAGCTAATGTTCAGGGTGGTCTGAGCAATAAAATGCATTCCCAATAGCATTTGCCTTTTTCTCAGTTGTTAAAAACTCCAAAGACCATATTTAACATCTGATTGATGAGGACCCTGTTTATATTCTCTACATTTTCCTATCTCAAAGCCAGTCCATTAGAAAGACCAGAGCACAACTACACTGATGTGGGGCTCCAAATACCTTTGGAATTCACATCACACTACAACATGCTCCAGATGCTGGTCTTGGAGGCACAGAATTTAATACTTGTTCTATGGGGTTTCAGTCTGACTTTGGTCCTGTCCATTCTAGGTATTCTTCTATTCCTCCCTTTCAAAATTGGAATGCTTACCCTGTACCACTGTATGTGAGAAATATGTAAATTCTTTCTTTAACTCAATCACATCTCCCAAGTTCCTTTTGACAGGCACTGTTACATTTATAAGGTCTAGATATTAATAGCTGTGTAGCTGTGAGAGAAGTTGGGATACGTTATCCCTTCACCAGCAACTGCTAACCTTTCCTCCAAAAATTCTTTTCCTCTAAAGCAGAATAAAAATAAGGAGGCAGATTTGTGAAATAAGAGAGCAGAAGGAAGAAGTCTGAGTCTCACTATTCTAATCTATAGGATTTAAAGGCAGAACATTCTCATTTCAAAATTCTCTAATTTGAAGTACAGTGTGCATGTGAATTTGTTGGAAGCTTCTCTGACTTTGAGAGACAGACAAATGAATCAGTGCAGTTGAGCTGTGATTGCCATGACCTGAAGTAATCCTAGGACCCATGGGGAGATTACAGAATACTAGAAGACAGCGGTGGAGTCAGGGATGTTTGAGTACTCAGTGACCTTTGAGGATGTAACTGAGAACCTCATACTGGAGAAGTAGGTTTTTCTGGATCCTTCCCAGAAAGCATTCTACAGTGATATGGAATTGGAGACTTCTAGCAACCTGGCCTCAATAAGAAAAATATGATAAGGTGAAAACTTTGAAGATAAGTATAGAAATTCAGAGAGATACATCAGCACTAATGCTCTAGAAAGAGACTGTGAAAGTAAAGAACATGTCCTTGTAGAGAAACTGTTGACCAGATTAAAAATTTTCATCTGTGTCAAAAGTTCTATTGAAGCAAAACCTTGTGAATGTAGTGTGCCTGTTGTGCTCTTCATTTATCACTCACCTTGTAGGAGCCACATTATTCCTGATGCTGTGTACAAATAGTATGAGAATCTAGTATGTGGAGAGAAAAACTGCAAGCAAGGTGGGAAAGCTGACTATAATCATCACTCCTTTAAAATATTTGAAAGGACACACACTGAAGAGAAAGCTTATGAATATAAGTCTTAAGGGAAAGTGTACACATATTTTTTATCTCTAAGTACCATGAAAAGACTCCCACTGCAGAGAAAGCTAATGAACGTGAACGGTTTGGGAAAACCTTCAGAGTTTAGTTTATCTGAAAGCCCATGAGAGAATTCTCACAGTTGAGAAATACTAGGAACCTGCAGAATCTGGAAAAGCCTTCTATTCTTCTAGAGGGCTTAGGAGACACATGAGGGTGCACAATGCAGATAAAGCATGCAAATGCAAATTTTATAGGAAAGCTTTGATTTCCCCAGTGCAGTTCTGGGCATAAAAAGTGTCACCCTGGGGAAAAAGTCTACATATGTAAACATTAAGGGAGAGCCTTGGAAAGGTCTGGTCATTTGAATGCCCATGATAGTATATCCCCACTGGAAAGAAACATTATAAATATAAGCAATGTGGAAAAGCCTTCATGTATCTTAGTTCTGTTAGAAAGCATGAAAGGACTCGCACTAGAAAAGAACCCTGTATATGTAAACAGTGTGGAAAAGCCTTCATGAATTTTGGTGTTTTGAAATTCCATGAAGGTATCCACAATGGAGAAAAACATTATAAATGCAAACAATGTAGGAAACCCTTTGGTTATTGGTTATTCTGGTTCAGTGTTACAGAATGAAAGGACTCACACTGGATAGAAAGCACAAAAAAAAGTGTGCCAGGCCTTGGAGCAAGCAAGAGATTACTAATGGGAAAAAAGTCTGAAAATGTCCTGTAGCCCCCAGGGGGAAACAAAGACCAGCTCTTGGTGAACATGCTTGAATGGGCTGAAGTACATTTCTGGCAGGTGAAGCCTTGTTTGTTATCAGAGTTGATTCTAGAAGGTTTTCTTGGACTGGGATAATGAGGCTGGAGCAACAGATATAGAGAGGGAGACTTCACCCTCCCACACCATGCCTTGTTGTTATTCCTTAGGGATTCTTATTAACATTTGCTAAAAAATTACAGTATTGGTATCTAACATGGATCACAGTATCCAACCCATAATTGTCTTGTGATTACTATGTTTTCTAAATTTAGAATTTATAATATTTTGTCATCAACAATATGTCTGAGCTATCGAGAGAAGGAATCAATTTGTATTCCCCAAAGAACCCATCCTAGCAATGGATGACACAGGAAGAATTTCACAAGTAATGGTGGAGACACACAATCAAGTACTAGAATCCAGTCTTTGAAATCCTGTAAGATGCAATATCACAGATAGAACATTAGATGGCAGAAAAAACCCACAGTAAACAAAAGAGAGCTGCCTATGTAAGAAATACTCAAGAAATTAGAATGACAGAATCTTATTATCTACAGGGAATCCTTCTGGTTTGGATGGGGACTTTGGTATGACCAGGTGCACGTGGGAGAAGTTTTAAGTTGGCTGAATTGGGAAAACAGCTCTGTGCTTTTTGCTCTCAGTCTGGAAGCCTTGCCTTGCCTCTAGCCCTACCAAAGCCCATCTCTTAAGAACCAAATAATGTCCCAAGATTTGTATGATTAAGCTCTATCCCTAGTGTGCATGTATTTGGAAAAAGGGTCCGTAAGAAGGAAAGGAAGGTGAAATGAGGTCATACAGGTGTGAGTTAATTCCATAGAAAGGGCATGAGGGAGCACTATCTCTGCCCTACCTCATAGACATCAAGGAAAAATCTTATGAGGACACGGCAACATGGTGGACAGCTAAGTAAAGAAAAAAACAGATGGGTATCTTCTGCACCTTGATGTTGTACTTTTCAAAATACAGAACTATGAAAAAAATCAATTTTATTTGGTCAACCTACCCAGCTCAGCCTCAGGAAGTGCCTTTTGGACATTTCTTCATTTCTTTGCCTTTGCTTTCTTTCTTCACCCTGCTGCTCTGATTTTGTCATAAGGAAGAAGAACTCAAGTATCATCCCCATTATGTTTGTATTGGATAATTAGAAATTTTCTTTCATTGTCATCTGCATGACCAGACTTACTCTATCCTTCCAGATAGAGTTACCCTTTATATCTCTCTCCCTAATCTAAATTAAGATACAAGAAAAGCAATATTTAAAACATGCACAATTTTAACACTGCATTTTTTTTATAAATCATCAGCTCTATGCTTTAAAAAGCTCTTTGCTTTATAAGTCATCAACTCTATCCTCCTATGAATGATAAGGACAGGGGATGCTCCTCAGTTCAGAAAAGGGTTGGTAATTAAAGTTGCAGATATGGTCTGCTAAAACAAAAGATGTAAAGGGGGTGGGCAGTTATCAAGATCTTGGTTCCTCTAAAAAGAGGAACCATAATTGCTTAACCCTAAATCTCTTTCTGAAATGGTTATGAGAGCACTTGATGTTAGAGAGATGGTGCAGATCTCTTGAACTCTTGATTAAAAAGTGTGCCTGGTGACAGTGGCAAAGCAGGAATATAGAAAGAACCCATATCTTTGGCTGTCACCAAGATGCTGCACCAATCCTAATTTCTACAGCCTCAGATCTTCTATTTACATCTTAAAATACTGTTATGGTTTCTTCCTCGTTTGTAAAGAGATTTCTCAGAATACTAGCCACATTAATTCCATCTTTCAGCAAGCTGCCAGTTAGATGTTCAATACTCCAGACTGCAACACAATAAGCTTTCCCATGCTCACGCAGTATTTGTCAAGGCAAACAAAACCTTGATAAGAAGAAGGAGAGAATTCCCATAAAGAAATAACTGTTTCATAACTTACCTATGCTTTCTGTTATTTGAGCTTTTAATTATTTTGTATGTTTTGACACCAGAAGGATTACTAGGTTCAGTTTTGTACTACAGAATTATAGTCATAGAAAAGAGGAGCTCAGTAGGCAGAAGGCAGCAACATTGGTGTCTGGATGGAGTTCAGGTCTATGTAACTGCCAATAGCTGTCCAATCCTCTGGATTTGCCTCCTCCTAAACTCATTCCAACTGGATTTGTATAAGAAAGTAGGGTTGTCAAAACCATCTCAATTGCAGGCACATCATTAGTTATGGGCCCAAGGAAAATTAACGCATAGCTTGTAAAATTACTCTAACTTATCCAAAAAAGATTTGAAAACCTGAGAGGCTGTTGAGACTTATACACACTCTTCAGAAAAAGATAATCATTATCATGTGTTTATGTGTGTGTTTGGGGCAAATATAGATCTGGAAACCATAGTAAGTTACATCCTTCCTGTCTTCTTAGTCACATTATGCCAATGTCTAGAGAAATTCAAACCACTTCCTAGAGTTTACGAACTATTCTCGTCCTGTCTTCACTTCTCTTTTTAAACAATAAATGTGAAGGGGCCATAGGTTTTCCTTAATTCTTTTCTAGATCATGGGTCATTAACATTGAACTGTGATTATGAAAATTGTGTCCTAAGTCATAAAGCAAGCAATAGATTACTCTCCTAATGGGACAGAAGTCTGAATGTGTCCTTTGGCCACCAGGGAGATACATATTTTCTCCCCAGAAAACTAGGATATCCTTATCGTGCCTGGGCATCTGGTGACTCTGGGCCCAGGCTGAGTTACTGAGATGAGCCAGCTCTGCAGCTGGGCACAGCCCTGCTCATTTGCATACTTCCCACATACAGCCCATTGCCCTCAGTACTTCTTAATAAGCTGAGCACATCCTGTCCAGGAGTCATTCTCAGTCAACACACAGCATGGAAATGTGGGGCACTTTACATCTCCTGGTGGTCCTGCTGCTCTGTTTCCCTGGTAAGGAAGGAAAACACAGAGGATTTACTCAACTCAGTGTGGTTGGTCAGTGCTGCCTAAATCTTCAGGGAATTTCACTTCTCACATGATTAATTATGTGAATATTGTTTTGTGTTTTCCTGTTAGGTGCCAGATGTGACATCCAGTTGACTCAGTCTCCATCCTCCCTGTCTGCAACTCTAGGAGACAGAGTCACCATCACTTGCAGGGCCAGTAAGAACATATACAGCAGTTTAGCCTGGTATCAGCAAAAACCAGGGAAAGCCCCTAAGCTCCTGATCTATAATGCTAACAGTTTGGATTCTGGTGTCCCATCAAGGTTCAGTGGCAGTGGGTCTGGGACAGACTACACTCTCACAATCAGCAGCCTGGAGTCTGGAGATGCTGCAACTTATTATTGTCAACAGTATAGTGAGTACCCTCCCACAGTGAAACAAGTCATAACATAAACTAGCCAGGGAAGCAGTAGTGTGAGTCTCATTTCCCCCAGTTGCTCCTACTGCTTCATCTGGTGAGAGAATTTTCTGATCCAGCCAGGCTCTGAACATCACTTGGTATCTTCCCTATTTCCTCTTCTTCATCCCCAGTATCACAGGCATAACTGTGTGTCTCCTGATTTAGTAAAGGATTCAAATCAGTACACTTGACGGGTATAGATTATGGATACTGATAGTTTGTAAAGCAGAATCCATTTGAAGTATTTCAGAGTGGAAATTTTTCAGATACAGATGGAGGTTAATATTTCATGACAAATTGGAAAGTGGACAAAATCTCCAGACATAACAGAAGTGGCAAATTTAAGATCAATGACCCAAGTACCCATGATTTTCATGTTTTCAGTTTGGCAATTATAGTTTATGAAAACCTTCACTCTATTTAAATACCAAGGATTTGAATTATTCTGTGGACCCATAATTATGTTTAAATCCTTATAGTCATCAGAACATTTTCAAATACAATGTCACATTGATATGAAAATAATTGATGTGAGTTTTAAACATGTATCTATTTTTTAAAGTTAGGATTTGTTAGTAATACAAGGAGTTAATATGTGAAAATTCTATGAATGTCTGTGTTTATGTTCAGCAAATTAACTACTATTATATTCCTTTAATCCCCTTCCTTCTTCTTTCCCTTTTAAGTGCAGAGATGTCTCCTCCCACTTCTTTCCTTCTTCCAGATGATTATTACATCCGAAGGGTCAAAAATGCATACCTTCATGAAAATTGCCTAGATTACACCTCATTTGAGTAGTCATAATTAAGACATCATGAAAAGCTGGTATCTGTGTTGCAAAAACCTTGAATTAAATATCTTAAATTTAACATCTTTTGGCCAAATTATAAAATCAGAATACTATGACAACAGGAATGTTTGAAATGTACCAGATGTCAACAACATTCAAGAACATGTTCTGTATTTCCCATTAGAGAAATATGTAATGGGAACCTCCCCCATCTACTTTTTCTTGGCACATATTCCTTTGCTAAATAAGTTCATTCATACATCTGTCCTTTTGCTTTACTCTTTGAATAAATGACTTTTGGACCCTTACCATACGTGTCCCTGAATGAAATTCTTAGTCTGTGTTTAGGAACAAGAATCCAAAGACTAAATGACCAAAATACACATGAGGAAATGTTGAATATCCCTGGCCATAAAGGATATGCAAATCAAAGCCATGTTAAGGACTAATCAGATAGCTCAATTGGTAAAGTTCCTGCTAGCAAGCATGAGGTCCTGAGTTCAAACCCAAGTATTGGAAAAATAAACACACTGAAGGTCCCACCTCATTCCTGTTAGAATGGCTATCATCAAGAACACAAAAGCAAAATTACGTTGTCAAGAATGTCGGGAAAAATGAATGCTCATACACCATTGGTGGGAATAAGAATTAGACAACTACTATGGAAAATGCTCCATAGAGGCTCTTCCAAAAACTAAAAATAGAACTGCCAAATGATGCAGCAATGTCACTCCTTGGGAGAGACCCAAGGGAATGATATACTTTGCTCCTTGGACAATTCAAGGTGAAACCAAATATATGCTCAATTTTTATTTCTTACAATTCTAACTTTCCGTTGATATTTATTCTTGCATTTCCCTTTACGTTGTTTTGCTTGCTTAACTTGCTTTTACCTCTCTTCTTTTTTCTGTTATCTAGTGTAATCTTTTTTTGCCTTTTTCATGTGGGAATTAAGGCTTACTTTGGAATTCGTCAGTTTTTATTGTACTTTCTGGTAATCCATTTGTTTTAGAAACCAGGAGCTTCATATAAAACTAGAGAAGATAGGATAAGCTCTCATTAGGTCACATTTTCTTATTTCTGAATATAGTAGGAATAATTGTGGCTTATCCAGGATTATCTGTAATGAAATTTGCTCTTGATTCCAAAGCCACTTGAGTTTCTCTCCACTTCCTGGACTTGATTAAATCATGCCATGTAGAGAGGAGAGTTGAACTTCAGATCATTATCTGGGAAGCTCTCCCCACAAAAATTTCTAGGAATTCTCCACTAGGATGTATATTAAAGAAATCAGATTAGGAAAAGGAGTGATTAAGAATAAGGAAATTAATCTGCAATACAATATGGGCTCAGTACAAACTAAAGGATCAAAAATGTGATGTAGAAATTAGAGCCTAAGATTTATCACAATTCTCCAAAGTTTATTTTGTATAAGACAAGGAAAATGTTCTTAAATTCTTAATGTACAATTCCTTATGGCATTGTATCAATTGTACAATTAATGATTCTGCAACACTGTAGAATACCCATTGGAATATGACATTTTGGCAGCCTCAAGGAGACTCCCTTCCCCCATAAGCTCCCTTGTTACTGCAGAGGAAGACACCCAGGCACCACTGTGTCCCTCTACTTTACCCATACTCACTACAAAGAATCATCAGTCACTCTTTATGGAACATCCTCTTCTTCCCCTATCACTCCTAAATTGTCCCCCTCCTCTTGTATTTGCTATAAGCTTCAATTGTTTTATCCATTTTTAGTGTTCTAAACCCAGCTGGGACTATCTGCACTTGAGTCTCATTATCAGCCATAAGCAAATAAAGTGCTCTGTCTGAATCAAAACAATGGAGGAATGTGTATGTGCATACTCCATTTACTATGGCAGATGTGGACAATTTATACCTATAATTATTAATTTTTAGTTAACCTGGACAGACTTACATGTTACATTTTCAGTTTGTGCTCTTAAACAGAAACTTAGAATCCAGACTGCAGCTAGATTTGTTTCAGTGATATTCATTTCAGAAAGCATCACAAGAAAGTAGGGGATGATGCAGTTTCCATTTCCGATCCAAATTGAATTAATAAGATTGGGAGTGATCACTTAGATACAAGAAATTACATGATTGCTTGTATAATTGAAGGAAATAAACTATCAATACATAAGATAGTTGTCTGAAAAAAAAATATACAGGAAAAGAAGAAAATCTTGACCTGTTTTTAGCTTGGTTAACAGATCTTTAAAAGATATGCTAATATAAATCCTGATTCACATGAAGAACAAACACTTTTAGAAATGACTTTTATCAGCCAATCAATGCCAGAGAGCCTACAAAAGTTGCAAAATCAAGAAGATGGGTCCTCAAGCACCACTTCCAGAATCAGTAAATCTGGCCTTTGGGATATAATGGGAGATCAGACAATGTTAAGAGAAGTCAGTTACAGCCTGAAAAGCAGACCTAATATACCTAATCATTTGCAAAGCATTATGGTCAAATATCAGTGATGATTATGAAAGGGAAATTTCCCTCAAGGAGAAAGACCCCTCAAGGAAAACCTATAGAAAGTCCAAAAAAGCTTGATTCCAGGTAGCTGAGGGTAAATTTTTATGGATGGTTGAGAAACGCCTGGGTACTGAAAAACTGAATGGCTCAAGAAAGAGCCACAACACGTAAGCAATACTAGGAATATTTCTGGATAGCTATCATTAACTCAACTAGCAAAAACACTTTGTCTTCCTTATTATGCTTGTCTCTTTTCCTCAGCAAAATTAGTGATAAAGGCAGAACAGGACCTGCCTAGAACTGAGAGGGGAAGAGGGGAGAGGGTGGGAGAGGGGGGCAGGGGGGTGAAATGACCCAAACAATGTATGCACATGTGAATAAATGAACAATAATAATAAAAAAGAGGGATAAAATGGAGTTTCAAAAAAGAAAGGGCCATAAAGCCAAACATAATCCTTTCTGTGCCATGAGAGAAAACACTGGAATAGGGACTGTCCACTTCTACAAATGACTTTCCTGAATATTTGAAGATACTTACTGCTTTTCCCCAGGTGAGGCCCAACTTGTCAACTTTCAATATTTTATGAGGAAATTTGGGTTATCTTCATAATAGCAAAAATTATAATCAATTTCCTTTTAGGTAGTGAGTCTCAATATTCTGCCTTAACTAACTTCCCTGGACCACTTTCTAAAAAATAGCTCTATAATAATTGATGTTGGAGGATCAACCAAGTATGAAAGTTTTACTGCTCTCCATACTTGCAAGTATGAATATTTTATTTTCTGCCAAATTTTCCCAGTTTTGCCAGAATGCCAAAATTTTTACTGTGGGGTACATTCCAATTAATTTAGAGACATCAATACATCTTAGTTTAGAAACCCTATGCCTTTCCTGGAAACCTTAATAGCACCCTTACATAAAGAAAGTGATAATCGTCCCAGGGAGATTAGCTGTAAATCATCAGTTAGGGAACCCAAAAATACCTGGTAAAGCATAAGTTCTCAGCCTATTTGAGTAGGTTGTAATGAAAGAATTATGAACTTTTATGCCTGCCATGGGAAGCTTACTACAGTATGTGGATGATTTATTAATTTGAATCTCTACAAAACTGGACTTGGATAAAAGTGTTGTTCAGTTATTTAATTTTCTGGGGATGGCAGAACTCTGAGAGTCTCCCCAAAACTCTGAAATTTCAAAAGAATAGCTTAAGTATTTTGGTCAGTCATTAGCTCTAGGAGAGAAACAAAAATGGACATTTTCCAGGTTAGACACCACTATCCTTTTTAAAAACATTTTAAATCATTTAATTGTTGTATGGGGGAATACATTGTGATATTTACATATGTGAATACAAATATCTTAATTAGAGTCATCTCCCCTCCTTCATTCTCTCTCATTCCCCTCTTCCTTAGAACAATTTTAATAGATTTTATAATTCTATTTTCATTCATGGACAGAAGATACATATACCATATTCGCTCCCCTTCATCCTTTCATTATGCCTTTCCCCATCACTGGTATGCATTCCTGGAAAGACCCATTTTATGTCCTGTCCATTTTTTAAAATGTATATTGATAGGTCAAGGAGTTTTCACTTTGGTGTTTCCAACATGTATAAACTGCTTTAACCAGGTTAAGTCTTCCTTTACTTACTCTGTCTCCATCACCCTGTTCCTCTATTATTCAACAGCTTATAGT